ACCCCCTCGCCGCCGCCTGCAGTGCGCTGGGCTGGCATGGCCGAGGCTTTGCCCAGGTCGCCGCCTCGTGGCCGCCTCGCGGCCGCCTCGCCTTCGTCCTCGCCGCCTCGTCCCCGCCTCGTGCGCTGGCTGCCGGTTCCCGGTTTTCGCCTGGTCGCTGCCCGTGGTCGCACGCCGCCGCCTTGTCGCCGCCTTGTCGCCGCCTCGTCGCCGCTTCGTGCGCTGGGTGGCCGTGCCCGGTTGTCGCGCGGTGGCCGCCCGGCCGGCCGTGGTCGCTTCGTCGTCGCTTCGTCTGCCACCACCGCAGCTTCCACCGCACTGTTTCCACCACACAGCTTCCACCACACAGCTTCCACCACCAGTTCTTTGGGAGATTTCCTGGAGTTATATCGTGAGTGTTCAGATCTGGTCCTGGGGCTAGAGGGTGTTCATGCTGATTCGGGAGGTCTTCTTGAATGCCAAGCTCTTCTTGAACCCAGATTAGATGAGTATGCTAGGGCTTCCTCGCAGCGATCTTTGAAGGCGTGGCGTAGCTGGCTTCTAGACGGCATCGACAAGGGAGGTCGGAATGCCCATCGATGGACCAAGGAGTTGAAGCCGTGGGTCGCGACCACCACGCTCTCGGCCGAAGGGCTCGTCCTCTCGGACCCTCTTTCGCTCCTCCAGGCTGAGGAGGCTAGGTTCGGTGAGCTTTGGAACTCGAAGTCCCACCCTCCTGAGGCTAGCAAGGAGCCCATCGAATACTTGGAAGGCCTAAGCCCCCTCACGCCAGAAGACCTGATTACTGTGAGTAAGTCCTACGCATCAGGTACTGCCACAGTGTGGATGGCTTCCACATGCGCCATTTTTCGATGTTGCAACCAGGCCTCCTATCAGTTCTGTGCACGCTCTACTACATGATGGAGTGTACGGGGCTCATGGCCCACCAGACGCAGGTATTGATCACTCTCCTCCTTGCCAAGCCAGCAGGAGGTTATCGGCCGATAGGCCTTTTTTCAGCATATTATCGATTGTGGGCGAGAGTTCGCCGCCCATACGCCGAGCGATGGGAAGCCGATCATCAGCGGATCTACTTAGCAGCGGGGTCCTTTAACTCAGCGCTCGACGTAGTCTACAGGCAAGCCGTCAGAAACGAACAGTCGGTGGGGAAAGGAAAGGCGGTAGCTAAGATCCTCTGGGACCTTCCTACAAGTTCTATGAATCGATTCGGCTTCCTAAGCTCGTGGCACGGTGTGAGGCTCAAGGTTCCCCCAAGCAGATTTACAGGGTCTCGATTAAGGCCTGCGGAGGAGCTCGGTTTATATCTCTTGGGGGCCTTTTGCACGGCCCGCATTTCAGTGAGCATGGAATTGTTGCAGGTTGCAGTTTCGCTACTACTTACATTAGGGCATACGTTATCCCCACGATGGACCTCCTGAGGCTCCCCTACCGGGTTCAGCTCGACATCTGCATAGACGACTACGGTATATCTAGCAGTGGGTCTGGGAAGTCTGTAGTGTCTTCGCTGAAGCTGGCCTCTACTGAGTTGCTTATTGCCCTCGAAGAGGACATGGAGTCGCGGATTTCTGATGAGAAGGCAGCAGTGGTATCCTCTGTCAAATGGGTTGGTCAGGCAGTCATTTCTTTCTTGGGGAGGTACGGAGGACCTTCCGCTGATTGCCACACTGCTGTCAACCTTGGTATTGACGACGGCGCTGGTCAGGCGCGTCGTGCCAGAGGACGAGGTCGCAAAGCTGCTGCTCATTTTCGGGTTTTTCGTCAGAGAGCCAAGAGGGCTTTCAAATGTCGGCATGCGCTTGGACGTCATTCCCGTACAATATTCGTGTCTGGGCCTGTGGCCTCGGTGACGTATGGGGCGGCTGTCTTTGGGACGTCTGATCATGAAATGGGGCTCTTGAGGACTGGTTTCGGCAAGGCTGTCAAACCATCGGCTAGTTCGAGGTCCCTTACGGCCCTGTCTATTCTCGAGAACGACCCGTTATACCACGCTTCTATCGCGCCTATCGCTCGGCATTCCAGGGAGATTTGGGACGCCCAGGTGCAGCTGACTCCGTTCGCTTTAGGATTTCGTGAGCTTCGCCTGGGAAGATGTCTGGGCTAGCCCACCAACCTCGTGGCGCAGAGTACGCGGCCCGATGAGCGCCATGTTTCTTTCGCTCAGCCGTATAGGCTGGTCCATGACATCCTTTGCGCAGCTGAAGAACGATCTTGGTGTCGAGTATTCCCTGACCATCAATTCCCCTCAGCTTATCAAGCAGTTGCTGCACGAAGGAGTGGTCAGGATGCTTTGCCGTATTTCAGGTCAGAAGCTCGGTCTTCAAGGCCGTGCATGCTACGACGCTGTGATCAGAGACTTGCGCAGCTCGAAATACTCCTATTTCGAGAAGGGATGCATCCGTGCCAATGCCTGCGGGGCCTGTTGGACCCAGGAGAAAGCCGTTTCCCTCGGATATCAAATCCCTGAGGTCCGTTGTTCTCTGTGTGGCGGCCCTTCAGACTCTATGTGGCACAGGTTGTGGGTGTGTCCTGCGGTCGACGATCTCAGGAAGGAGCTTTGTGATCCCGAAGTGTTACAGGCGAGTTCCGAGGTGGACTTAGCCACCGTCTCGAACGACAAGTTTGTGCTGTTCACGAAAGGTATCTTCACCCACCCCTGCGAGCACCTCCCGATGCCCTCCAAAGAATGTCCCCATATGGTCCATTGGGAAGCTCCTCAGCGCGATGCTTCTGATGAGCAATTATTCTCTGGGGATGTGTTCTTCGACGGATCATGTAGGAAGCACGCAAGTAAGGAACTAAGCAGGGCAGGATGGGGTTTAGCTGTATATGATAATCATAGGAATTTGCAGTGTGTCATGTGGGCCCCCCTTTGGGACAGGTTCCCCCAGACCTCCCAAGCGGCGGAGTTCGGGAGCCTGGCATACGGTTCTCTGTGTCTCCTGGGGCCCTCAGAGGGTTTCAGCGATTGCCTTAATGTTTGCAAATCTTTTCTTATGGAGCGGCCCGAGTGTCTCTCCTACAAGCGGCCTTATGCCGGGCTGATGATTAATACTCTTCAGTCTAAATTGACCAGCCTTCACAAGGTGAAGGCCCACGTTGCGGATTCCATTTAACGGCCGATCAGCGGTATTTCAAACTTGGTAATGATGAGGCCGACAGAGCGGCCAAGCGAGGAGTGGACATGCACGCCAAAGGATCTCACGCTGAACTGGATTTTGTTGACTGGCAACTCAAAGTTGCCAAGAACGTCGGCCTGCTGGCAGCCCGTCTTCTCCCGTCTTGGTCAAGACTCAACCTTGACGGAGTTGATTTTGTCGCCCCAGCCCGCGAGGTGGAGCCGCCGCCCCCCCCCCCCCTGTGGAGCAGCATCATCATGAGTGGGTGTGGTGTGCCACCTTCTGGCGCTGCAGCGTCTGTCTCCGATGTCGCCGCCAGTCGGTGAAACCCGATTTTTCAGGGTGCTCGGGCCAGCTCCCTGACGTGGCCCTTTCCATGCGGGATAAGGGCCACGCCATCACGGCCCTTCAGTGTTCGAATCAAAGCATGTTATATTTTTGTCATCTCTGCTGCGGGTACAGCTGTGGCGGAAGATTCAAGAAGCTTAGTAAGTCTTGTATCCCAGAGCCCGAAGGGCCCAGGAAGTCAAAGTACGCGTCCTCGGTCTTGAGGGCGCTGCGGAGGGGGAGGCATCCCAGGCTGGCTGGCGTGACGTGTGAAGTGTTCGACCCTGCTGCTGAAGCGAGCGAATCTGAGGCTGGTGATCGGGCCGAGCCCGACTGGTCAGCTCAGGCCCGCAGGCCGCTTCGGGAGGAGGGTGAGCACGCCCCAGACCAGCAACCCCTTTCAGACAGCTCGGACTGACCTGCACCAGGCGGGTAAACTAGTCCGAGTTTTTTCTTAACTCAACCCGAGCTGGCTCGGGTTCAGGGCGCCTGTCATCACATCGACTGCACCACATTGCTTCCGCCAGATAGCCTGCGTGCACCATGTAGCCTGCGCCACGTTGCTTCCACCACGTAGGTTCTACCTCCTTGCTTAGTTTGCACATCCACAGTGCATAGGCTGACTGTATGCTGTCGACGCTGGCAAACATGTGCTGTGACATGTGAAGGGACACGATTGTAGGTGCACGTCGGGATGCGACTCGTAGAGGTTTCGATCGGAGATGTAGACGTACAAGGGTGTGCGAGAGAGAGAGAGAGATACGGAGACAGAGAGAGAAATATATATATATATATAGAGAGAGAGAGAGAGAGAGAGAGAGAGAGAGAGAGAGAGAGAGAGAGAGATCTGCATAGAAGGGATCTTCAAGTGCCCCCCACTCATCGCACCTGCAGAACGCGAGCTGAAACATATTCGGGGCTGTTCGAACACAGCGGGCGTCTGGGGCTTGCCACGATGGGGGGAGAGGCCCTGGGCCGATGGCGCCGAGTCTGCCCGGCCGGCGACTCCAGCGCCGGCGTTCGAGGTTGAACGCCGCCAGTGGCCCGTATTCGGCCAGTATGGACCGAGCATTCTCTTTGGGTGGAGGGCAAGGGATGAAATCTGAAATGCCGTTTCGATGGATTTTCGAGGCTTGAATCTGCAAAAGTTGAATCACAAGACGGATTGAATTCCCAGGTGCGAAAGTCCATATGGATTTCACCCTGAGCCCTCCACCCTGAGAGCATGCTCAGGTGGAACGATTTCGGTGGTCGGGAAGCTGCGGTCGCGTAAGGTTGAATGATCCACGTGGTGTTAGAAGCCAGCGCCGAAGCCGTCGAGACGCGACTCTGCAGTCGCGCTCCTTCGACTTTGCCGCAAGTCTTGAAGGAGAAGCGTCACATTAAATCATCAGCTTTCGCAGGGCCGTGCGAATTTCCTGAATCTGCGCCGGGCCATCTCTGGCGACGCCTCCAGCGCCGATCCAAGAAATCCACGCGGACCTCCGAGCGTTTATGAATATGTTGGCTTTTGTTCCTCTGAAGTCTCATGCGCGCCTCCTCTCTCTGCGACGCCAGACTGTTCCACTGGCTGCACGGCGACTCTCCGTGACCTCCCCTGGTCCTGCCGTCCCTCGCGCAGGCGCGGACGCATCGCGCGCGGTCGGGGGGCGCGCGCCGCGACCCCGCCCAGAGCGCATGCCGGTCTTCTTCCCGTGGAGGCTGCCCCAGGTGTTTCTTTTTGCGACTACAGCGGACGCCAACGCACAGATCTCGGCGGTCTCGTGATTGCAAGCCGGTGCTCCCCGTCACTGCGCGCCCCACGGTGCGACTTTGAGTTCTGCAGCCTGTCGAAGCCCCGAGATTCGATCGAAAACGCAACCGTCGAGCGCTTCTCGTCAGGAGGGACTGGACGCATTTTCTGAGACGGATCCTGGAGGCCGTCTGAGCTTATGCATCGTTTCGTCCGGTCGGCGCCGCCTCTCTTGAATGTCGGCAAGGTGACTGCCTCGGCAGACGCCGCGCTCCGCTCACCGCCGGCCAGCACACACATCGTCGATTCAGATCGGGGCCCCCTAAACAAGGACATTGCTAACCTGGCTTTTGAAAGTTCCACCTGGAGAGAGCGAATCATGGAGACTGCTTCGACCCACAGCTGCAGTTTTCTTTGGCACGGCAACGTCGGGGGCCCCCAAACAGTGTGGTGACCACACCGCGTGGTGAGTCAGTGGGGGCTCGAGGTCACCGCACGGTTTTGGGACTTGGGTCGTTCTCCGAGGATGTCTCGGGCGACCAGAGCTTCCGGGGTCCAAAGACCGTGGGGTGACGGACCGAGCGGTGAGGTCTCTTGGGATTTCGAGGTGGCCGCGCGGTCCGTCATCACACGGTTTTGGGACCCCGAACCATGTCCTGGTTTATCAATGTCTCTGCCTAGGGGGGCTTTGAACATTTAGAATTCGCGGATTTCCAGGGGTCCAGCTTCTGTAGCCACCCCTGGGCCGGGAGCAGTCGGAAGGCGAGCGCGCGTGGGCGTGCGCACAGCTGGAAGCCAGGAAGCGTGATTTCGGCAATGACTGCGTTGGAGATCATTGGAGGTTGGGGAGTCAGATCGAAGTGGAACGGAGACCAGAGACCCCCCGCCGGGAAGTCGGTCTCGGCTTCGTGCTCGTGCCGTGCTTGCCAGCTCTGCTTGGTCGCACACCGTCCAGCACGCTGGTTTCTGGTGCCTGAGGCGGGCTGCGCACTCCTCGTGGCGAAGATTCTCTGCGCCTGAGGCCTCCTCCCGCGTTCCTTCTCCACGGTCGCCCTCCTCTTCCCCTCGTCGCCTCCGTGTGTACTTGGCCCTGTGCGGCCCGCTGGCTTCCGAACGCGTTGATGCCCGCCCTCGCTGCTGACCAAACAGTGCGTGCCGTGTGCGCGGGCGAGGCGAAGGTGCGCGCGCGGGCGAGAGGAGTGGTCCCGCCGCTGCTAGGGCAAAATCGGCAAATTAACAGTGATACGTAATGGTGGAATGCAAGCTTTAATGGGGGAAAAGAGAAGCTTGAAGGTGAAAAAGACAGTGCGCAAAAACACGACGCGAAAACGTACGTACGTAAAAAATCATTGCGTACAAAACGCTACGTACTGTCTCCCCTGGGCGACTCTCCCGGCGCTCCCGGCTGCGCTCCCCAGGGCGTTCCAGCGGGCTTTCTCTTTCCTGGCGCCCCTGGGGGGCTCAAGACGGCCCCAGAGTGCCCCAGAGTGCCCCAAGAGGGCCCCAAGACGGGCCAAGAGGGCTCCAAGAGAGGGTCCCGAGTTGCCGAGCGATGAGTCCAAGACGCTACAGATCCCCAAGATGCCTCCAAGAGCCCTCCCAAGAGAGCCCAAGAGGCAAACATAGTCCCATTCCTTCAGGAAAACTTGTGTTTTTATCAGATGCGACTTTTCGACCGTCACGGCGTCCAAGACATCCCAGGAGGCCTCCCAGATCATCCCAAGACGGTTCCAGAGGCTCCCAACAGGGCCCCGAGACGCCCCAAGAGAGCCCCAAGACGGCCCAAGAAGCGCCCAACACGGCCCAAGAGGGCCCTCAGAGGGCCCCCAGAGGAATCCAAGAGGGGGAACTCGAATTGAGATTTCGAGCCCTCATCTTCAAAGGGCCCCCCGAAACCGCCAGCAGGCCCCCAAGAGGCCCCAAGAGACCCCCAAGAGGCCCAAAAGAGGCCCAAAGAGACCCAAAAGGCCATCAGAAGGCTCCCTAAGAGGCCCCCTAAGAGGCCCCAAGAGGCCTCCTGACAGGCCCCCAGTGGCTCTGACCCCGAAACTCACAAACGACCGCGCGCCATAATCATCCCAACCCGATCATAGACCGAGCCGAGGAACCAATTAGTACTGCGACGGCCAGACAGTCAATACACCCAAATGCGTACACACACATATATATATATATATATATATATATATATATATGTATATGTGTGTATATATATAACCAAGGAAAAACCAAAATCAGTGGATGGTTTTCGCTGAGGAGATCGACCAGGAACCCGGGAGCCGGGGAACCCAGAACCCACCCAAATCGGCCCAGAACCAATCTCCCGGAACCCGGGAAATGGGAACCCAAGAACCCGGGAACCCAGCCTGCTACCAAAATCGGAGGGAAACTTCCGCCAAATCTTTCAACTTCTGTTAGGACCCCTTCAGTGCAAGCACTTTTTTTTTTTTTTTTTTTTTTTTTTTTTTTTTTTTTTTTTTTTTTTTTTTTTTTTTTTTTCTCTCTTTTTTTTTTTTTTTTCTCTCTCTCTCTCTATATATATATATTCCCTCTTCCTGTATTTTCATAGGCCTGGGCGGGGGACCCCCCCCCCCAAAACCGGACTCCCGGGATCTGGGGCTCTGGGACCTTCCGGACGGGCCTCGAAGCGGCCCACCGGGCCTCGCAGGGCGTTTTGCCAAGCCTTCCCAGCACACCTAGGGCGATCAGGGGGGTCATCGGAGACGTCCCAGAGACCCCCAAGACAGCAAAAGAGCGCTCCAAGAGTGACCGACGTGACCTCAAGATGGCCCAAGAGGCTTCGAGAACAGCCCCAAAGAGGCCTCCAAGGGCACTCCCAAGAAGGCCCCAAGAGGCACAAATCATTGATTTTCTGTTGGTTTTTGGTGATTTTTGGGGTTCTCCTCTTTTCGGCTTCCCGACGCTCCAAAACGGCGGTCTTCTGGGCGTCCGAAGCCGCCTGGGAGGCTCCCAAATCGCCCCACAACCATCCGAAAGGGCTTCCAGGCAGCCCAAGAGAGCCCCCAAACGGCACAACACGGGTCCAAGATGGCCCTCAGAGAGTCCCATGGCGGCCCAAAATGGCCCCCAAACACCCTCCGAAGCATTTCAAATCGTAACCCGGTTGTTCAGTGAGCCGCGGTTGGAGGCAGGGTGGTCCGAGGAAGGCCCCATAGGCTCCCAGATTACGCCCAGGAGGCCTCCAGAAGGCCTTCAGAAAGCCTGAAACAACTTTTGTGAGGCCCCCAGAGGCTCTCCAAGGAGCAGCCTGCGCATAATCGAGCTGAGGAGGATGGGGAGAATGCGGAAGGCACGGCGAACATGAGGAAAAATAAGCATGGAGGAAGGATAACGAATACCATGATTATAGTGGCGATGCTGGAAAAGGCAACAAGGAGTTATCGCTAAATTGTCGGCTTGACCTTCCTGCTATTCTGCCTGCATGCCGAACTTCAAGGACCAAGGTGCATGGCGCGAGGCGCCACTGCAGTCTTGTACACACATAATTACATGTATATATACCAGACTGCGTTGGCGCTTCGCGCCACGCACCTTGGTCCTTGAAGTTTGGCATGCAGGTGGAAGTCGCGGCGGAAGGGCAGGAAGGCAAAGCGTACAACATGGCGATAACCACTCGTCGTCTTGTCCGACATCGTCCTCACAATAATGCCATTCGCTATCCTTACCTAGTGTGTCCTCTTCCCCTTCTTCGTTCTGAGGTCCACGAAGGAAGTGGTGACCGCCCCTGGTGTTGATTCCCCTTGGCACTGCCTGATCCTCCTACTCCCTCCTCCTCCTCATCCTCCTCATCCTCCTCATTCTCCTCGAGGCCTCACCTTATCCGCGGCGCAAGCCCCACCACCTCCTGCTCCTCTTCCTCCTCCTCTTCCTTCTTCTCCTCCTCCTCCTTCTCCTCTTTCTCCTTCTCCTCCTGCTCCTCCTCCTCCTCCTCCTCGTCCTCCTCCTCCTCCTCCTTCTCCTCCTCCTCCTCCTCCTCCTCCTCCTCCTCCTCATCATCATCATCATCATCATCATCATCATCCCCCTCCTCCTCCTCCTCCTCCTCCTCCTCCTACCCACGTGCCTAGAGGGAACTCGTGAAACTGGGATTCGGACATACTTAGTGGAAATGCTGGACGAGGGCGCCAATGCGGCGTAGTACGTCAAAGGCCTCTTCGGTGTGTTTGGGTCTGTGGGGAGGCGTCTCGGGGTCGTCGTGGAAACAATGTTGCTGGTCTGGGAGATAACTTGGAGCCCCCTTTGGTTTATTTTCGGTCTTATTGGGGACCTCGTGAACCCTGGTTGGGGCGTTTTGGCGCCTGTTGGCAGTTTCGTGGGTCCTTTAGGGCCAGAGGGCTCGCGCCTGGTGGCGGTCTGAAGGTCCGCCTTGGAGCCGTCTTCGGGGATCGGGGGGGCATCTTCGCCCGTCTTGGAGCCTTGTCGGGCCGTCATGGGTTGTCCTGGGGCGATGTTGGGGGCCTTTGAGCCTTCGTGTGGCGTTTGTAGCACGAAAAAAACAATAAGGCCAAAATATTGCAACAACTTTTGTAGGACACGCGCAGGTTTTGGATTTGGAGGCCCACTTGGGTGTTCCTCTTGGAGCTCTTTGGGGCGTTTGGAAGGTCTCTTGGGCCATCAGGAAGCCATGTTGGACCCTCTTGCGGCTACCGCCGGCTCGTTTGCACGACTTGGCAGGGACTCCCAGCAGCCCAGAGGTTTCATTGGACCCTCGGCAGGGGGGTCCAGGAGCCCTAGAGACCAGGGATTCCGGAAGGTCCGGCCCGGGGGGGGGGGGGGGTCCCCCCCCCCCCCCCCCCCCGGATTGTAAAGATATAGAAAGGGAATATAGGCAGCAATTTCGATTTGTATACGCTGGGACCGATCGATCGAAAGTGACATATATATATATATATATATGCATATACACACATATGTATATTTGTGCATGTATATCTATAGATAGGTGTGTTTATACACATATTGTTTACATCTTTATTTCTATATACATATATATATGCATATCATATGTAGAAGGATCGGCTGTAAATAGACTGGTGGAGGTTGTCCAGAAGGTGGTCCCGACCGTTATCCCGATGGTCGTGTTGATGGTTCTCCCGATGGTTGCCCTGATGGTTGTCCCGATGGGTGTTCACATGATCGATTGATGAATTAATCGTCTGATCGTTTGGTAGGTAGTGAAGCCGATCGACCGACTGATCGGCACATCCAGTGAATGTGATATCGACACACGTATATATATTATATATATGTTTGCATAGAGACGGTTGAATTTATGCACACATAGATACCGTGATAACGATTGATTGATCGTGAAATTGGTAGATGCGTAGATCGTGAAATCAACACATACACATATGTATGTTTGTATATATACATATATGCTCACTCAGACACATTCGTATCGATATACATGTATATTGTGGTATCGGCATCTTCCCAGTGGTGTATATGACGATACAGCCCGTGGGATCGATCAATAGATGGATCGACCGATCGAGGTTGTTCGACGGATGGAGACGGTTGCCCCACCGGTAGAGCTTGCTCGATGGACGGGGACGGTTATCCCGATGGTTGTCCCGTCGTTGGGTCCACCCCCCCAAACCGCCTTGTCGGTCGTTGGGCAGTCTTCCATGTATGTTTGAGGGCCCTCTTGGCGACGAGAGCTCCCCTTGCGCAGCATGGGCGCCGTGGGGGGTGGCTAGGTGACAGGGCGGGGGGAGGGCAGGCAAGGAAGCATGGAGCATGGAGCATGGAGCATGGATCGGCCCCCCGCGGACAGCGGAATGGCCACTGCCGTCCCAGACACGTCCGACAGACTGATGTCTTCAGTCTGCGGGTCCGCGAGGTCTCCACCCTTGCGCCGGCGGCAGAGTCGCGTCCCGGATCCACTTTTTGATGCCCCCAGAGGCCCGACAGCGGCCCTCTGGAGGCCGACGAGTAGGAAGGATGCCAGGGTTGGCCGCGGGGACGAGGAGCCCCTTGGAGGCCCAAAACGGCCGCGATGCGCCGAACTACCTTTAGAGGGGATTCGTATTTATTTTGTTGTGTTTGTGTGTGTGTGTGTGCTTGTGTGTGTGTGTTTGTTTGTGTGTGCGTGTGTGTATATGTGTATGTGTATGTGCTTGTGCTTGTGCTTGTGCATGTGTGGTATATAGTGTATGTAAGTATGTCTGTATGTCTGTATATATATATATATATATATATGCATGCATGCATGCATGCATGCATGTATGTATGTATGCATGTATGCATGTATGTATGTATATTTATGTGCATATATATATACAAATGCATGCATGTATGCATTCGCATGCATGTATGTATGTATGTATGTATGTATGTATGTTTGTATGCATGTATGTATGTTTGATTGTATGCATGTATGTATGTATGTATGTATGTATGTATGTATGTATGTATGTATGTATATGTGTATGTATGTATGTATGTATGCATGTATGTATGTATGTATGTATGTATGGATGTATGTATTTATGTATGTGTGTGTGTATGTGTGTGTATGTATGTATGTATGTATGTATGTAGGTATGCATGTATGCATGTATGCATATACGCATGATTTGATGTTTGTATGTGTGTGTGTATGTATGCATGCATGCATGCATGCATGCATCCATGCATGTATGTATGTATGTATGTATGTATGTATGTATGCCTGTCTGTCTGTCTGTCTGTCTGTATGTATCTATGTATGTATGTATGTATGTATGTATGTATGTATGTGTGTATGCATGTATGTATGTATGTATGTATGTATGTATGTATACATGGATGTATATATGTATGCATGTATGTATGTATGCCTGCATGTATGCATGTATGCATGTATGTATGTATGTATGTATGTATGCATGCATGTATGTATGTATGTATGTATGTATGTACGTATTGGGTGTACGTACATATTGTATAGGCACATGTATAGTTTACACCTTGTCGTATATACAGGTATGTATACACACACACACACTCAATGCGGGATCCCCAGTCGTGTGGACCCGTTCCCCAGGGCCAGCTTTTCACCCTGAGTTGTCGTTGACGATCCTGGGGCCCGGCGAGAGCCGCCAGATGCCGAAAGCTACGAAAAACCTTCGCCTCCATTTTCCCCACATGCTTAGTGGGGTTCTGGTTTTCTTCCCTGCCGCGCCGCACCCGCGACACTTCGTACAGCACAGCTCAGCACAGCACATCACAGCACAGCACAGCACAGCACAGCTCAGCTCAGCACAGCACACAGCTCAGCTCAGCTCAGCACACAGCACAGCTCAGCACAGCTCAGCACAGCCCAGCACGGCTCAGCTCAGCACAGCACAGCACAGCTAGCAGGCGTGGCACTTTCTCGACACCATAGGGGGTGCGCACGGGGTGGTCCCCCTATCCGCGCCGGTCGTCCAGGCCGTAGCAGGCGTGGCACTTTCTCGACACCATAGGGGGTGCGCAGGGGTGGTCCTAGGGGGTGCGCAGGGGGTGGTCCCCCTATCCGCGCCGGTCGTCCAGGCCGTAGCAGGCGTGGCAGTTTCTCGACGCCGTAGTGGGTGCGCACGGGGTGGTCCCCCTATCCGCGCCGTCGTCCAGGCCGTAGCAGGCGTGGCACTTTCTCGATACCATAGGGGGTGCGCAGGGGGTGGTCCCCCTATCCGCGCCGGTCGTCCAGGCCGTAGCAGGCGTGGCAGTTTCACGATAGTGGGTGCGCACGGGGTGGTCCCCCTATCCGCGCCGGTCGTCCAGGCCGTAGCAGGCGTGGCACTTTCTCGATACCATAGGGGGTGCGCAGGGGGTGGTCCCCCTATCCGCGCCGGTCGTCCAGGCCGTAGCAGGCGTGGCAGTTTCTCGACGCCGTAGTGGGTGCGCACGGGGTGGTCCCCCTATCCGCGCCGGTCGTCCAGGCCGTAGCAGGCGTGGCAGTTTCTCGACACCATAGGGGGTGCGCAGGGGGTGGTCCCCCTATCCGCGCCGGTCGTCCAGGCCGTAGCAGGCGTGGCACTTTCTCGACGCCATAGGGGGTGCGCACGGGGTGGTCCCCCTATCCGCGCCGGTCGTCCAGGCCGTAGCAGGCGTGGCAGTTTCTCGACGCCGTAGGGGTGCGCACGGGGTGGTCCCCCTATCCGCGCCGGTCGTCCAGGCCGTAGCAGGCGTGGCAGTTTCGGAAGGCCGTAGCCAGTACGTAGTGGGTGCGCACGGGGTGGTCCCCCTATCCGCGCCGGTCGTCCAGGCCGTAGCAGGCGTGGAGGGTTAGTGGCAGTTTCTCGACGCCGTAGTGGGTGCGCACATCCGGCCGGTCGTCCAGGCCGTAGCAGGCGTGGCCTCTATGGTCCCCCTCGTTTGACGCCGTCGTCCATCCGCGCCGGTCGTCCAGGCCGTAGCAGGCGTGGCAGTTTCTCGACGCCGCGCACGGGGTGGTCCCCCTATCCGCGCCGGTCGTCCAGGCCGTAGCAGGCGTGGCAGTTTCTCGACGCCGTAGTGGGTGCGCAGGGGGTGGTCCCCCTATCCGCGCCGGTCGTCCAGGCCGTAGCAGGCGTGGCAGTTTCTCGATACCATAGGGGGTGCGCACGGGGTGGTCCCCCTATCCGCGCCGGTCGTCCAGGGCAGAGCAGGCGTGGCACTTTCTCGATACCATAGGGGGTGCGCAGGGGGTGGTCCCTGAGCGCGGCCGCTATCCGAGACGGTCGTCCAGGGCATAGCAGGCGTGGCACTTTCTCGACACCATAGGGGGTGCGCAGGGGGTGGTCCCTGAGCGCGGCCGCTATCCGAGACGGTCGTCCAGGGCATAGTAGGCGTGGCACTTTCTCGATTCCATAGGGGGTGCGCAGGGGGTGGTCCCTGAGCGCGGCCGCTATCCGAGACGGTCGTCCAGGGCATAGTAGGCGTGGCACTTTCTCGATTCCATAGGGGGTGCGCAGGGGGTGGTCCCCGAGCGCGGCCGCTATTCGAGACGGTCGTCCAGGGCATAGCAGGTGTGGCACTTTCTCGACACCATAGGGGGTGCGCAGGGGTTGGTCCCTCACCGCGGCCGCTATGCACGACGGTCGTCCAGGGCATAGCAGGTGTGGCACTTTCTCGACACCATAGGGGGTGCGCAGGGGGTGGTCCCTCACCGCGGCCGCTATGCACGACGGTCGTCCAGGGCATAGCAGGCGTGGCACTTTCTGGACAAAATAGGGGGTGCGCAGGGGGTGGCAACGGCCACCAACATCATTCTTACATGCTTCACTTCAGCTATCATCACTTCAGCCATAATATAAGTATGTGGGGTTCCTCGGCAGCGTAATTACTATATGGTGGATGTCTGGGGACCTGAAGTCTGTCAGGATGATCGCGGGGTTGTCTGTGGGGAAAGGGAGGTTATACGGGGGTGCTAAGGTGGCTTTTCCATTGCCTAACATAGCTCATAAGTGGGCTAGAGGTGCCCTGAGCGGCTCAAGATCTGGACGAAGTGTGCTGCGCCCACTTGGCGGACCTATCGAACCCACCCAAGCCACTCAAGGCATCCACTCATATAAGTGAGTTTTCGCCAAGACAGCCCACCCGACCACCCACTTGTAACCCCCCGTGCCCTCAGCACCCTCCCGCGGCCCTATCACATCCCCTCTGGCCCCCCCGCGGTCCTTTCAGTGGGGCCCCTGGCACGGGCGGGGGGGCGCCCCTGGGGCGAGCGAGGGCCAGGCCGCGTGCGGCCGCTCCGCGCGCGCGTGCTGCAGCACCAGGCGGTGAGCCTCGCGCGGGCGCCTCCTCTACATGCGGAGGGCTCCGGCTGCGCACCTACGCCGACCCTGGCCAGGCCGATCCTGGGCCCGGGATCGGTGTACATCAGAGCAGGCAATGAGACCCATACCGCTACCATTGGCTCGTTCTCCCCTTTTCGGGCCTCCTGGGAGGCCCCAGCCACCGCTGGATCCGCCTCGAAATTCTGGTCAGACCGCACCCCGGCAGAGGTCCAGGGAGCAGCGGTATCGGTACCTCTTGGCTTCCCCAGCATACGCATTCCCGCCCAGGCCCTGGAGGCCGCATACACCGACCCCGGGCCCAGGGTGCACCTGGCCACGATCTGTGTTGGCGTCTCGCTGGCGCCCTCTGGTGCGTATGACGCCTGGCGCGCGGCTCGCCGGCGGAGCCGGCTGCGCTCCTCCCCTCCCCCCCCCCCTGCCCCCCCCAGTGGCGACATTGAGGGGGGAGGATAGGCTCAGGGGTCGTCGGAGGTGTTGCGTCGGTCCTCGGCGGCTTTCCGGCCTCGGGGTGCCTTCCAGCGGCTGCGCCTCGCCGAGAGCGCGCTCCCGCGGGCGCCCGCATCGGCCCGAGCGGCCGCCGGAGAGCCGAGTTGTGGCCCGAAGACCACCAGGGGCACTGCTAGGCTGGGATAGGCTCAAGGGGGGATGCATCGACCCCCGATCGCCCACTCATCGCCGATATGGGCCTGATAACCCACCCCGTCCAGGAACGTGCGGTCCAGCTCGATGGTTCCCCTTCTGAGCCAGTCCCCCTCCTGCCGTTCCCTTCCCACCCCCCATTTTTGCCCCCCCCACCCCCCCCGGCTTCACCCAGACAACGGGAAGCCTTTCAAAGACAAGAGCATTTCTAGGCACTCAAGACTTTCCAGAAGGCCAGCAAGGCCTCAGCTATATAGGCTGAGGTCATCGGCGCTAGCCACGTCAGAGGGCTATCGCTTGTGCCCACGAGTGACCCCCCAACCCCCACATCCCCAGACCCCCTCGCGCTGCGAACAGACTCGCGACGAAGCCCTGTGGTCCTGGCGTCGCATTTTGTATTCAGACTGGGCATTTGTTTCGCTCCGGTTCGGGCGTTTGTCTCTTCGCAGATCGATTCGGCTTGAGAAATGCCGCAGACAGGTGGGAAGATGACAAATTTCACCAGAGAAAAAACCCAATTTGTTGTTGGTTTTCGCTGAGGAGATCGACCGGGAACCCGGGAGTCAGGGAACCCAGAACCCACCGCAATCGGTTCAGAACCAATAGCCGGGAACCGGGGAACCCGGAACCGGGAACCCGGGAACCCAGCCTGCTACCAAAATCGGCGGGAATCTTTCGCCAAATCTTTCAACTTCCGCTAGGACCCCTTCAATGCAAGCGCTGATTGGGGAAATACGAAGCGTCGTTTGATTTCACCACGTTTTTTTTTTTGTTGCGACGTCGGACTTCTGGGCCTCGGCGTTGCGAGCAAAGTCGCGGCAGAAGGTTTTGGGCGCTTTTCGGCTGGAGTGGGTTGCTCACCGCTCCACGGGGCCGTCAAGAGCACCCCCCCCCCCCAGGAGGGGATCGGGACCGCCGGGGGTCCAGGCCGGGAGCAAGAATCGCGACGTCGGAGGTCTGGACCCCGTTGGTGCTCGGAGAGCCCATTCTGGAGAGCTGGGCGTCAGCTCTCGAAGCCCGCCCCGCCGGCAGGGGCGGTTCTGAGCGGTTCCTTTGTGGACCTCCCTCCCCAGACCCCCGACGTCATGATTTTTTCATGACGTCGATTTCTCGAGGTTTCGATTTATTCCCCAGGACCGGTTTCTCATCCTGAGTCGTTTTTTGACGGTCCCGAGGCCCGGTAGGGGCCCCCAGAGGCCGAAAATGGTGAAAAACCTTCCGTCGTGATCTTTTTCGCTACTCGAGGGGGTCTGGGTCCCCAGACCCCCCCGACCAACGAGAAAATCATGACGGGAGGTGCTTCGCCTTTTTTGGGGCCTTTGGGGGCCCAGAGATCCGATGTCGTGATTTTCTCCATACGGGGCCCCCGGAAGACTCGACCCATTCCCCAGGACCGGTTCTTCATCCTGAGTCGTTTTCTGACGGTCCAGGGGCTTGGTGAGGGCCGCCAGAGGCCGAACATCGGGAAAAACCCTCGTCCTGATTTTTCCAATGCGTCGCAGGTCTGGGGGCCCTTCCCGGGCCTCGGGACCGTCCAAGAACGACTTTGGGATGAAGGACCGGTCCCGGGGAAGAGGTCGCGCCCTCGGGGGTCGACGGCAGGAAGAAGTCGTGACGTCGGGGGGCTGGCCCCCCGCCCCGCCGCCCCCGCACCTGGCTCGACGGCGCGCGAGGGTGGCCCGCTGGTCGGGGGCAGGCAGCCGGCCGAGCCCGGCCGGGCCGGCCTGGGGCGCGGGATCGGTGCCGACGCCTCCTCGGGGGCGGCGAAGATCGAGGGGGGTGAGGACCAGAGGGGGGCGGATATCATGGCGTGGGCCATGATGTCTCCCCAGATTTCATGGCGCCTCGTCTCATGTCATCACGTCCCTGGCCCTCCCCCTTGGGCCGCGCACATGCCGCCGGCCATGATTTGCGCCCCCCCTCTTGGCCGCCCCCCTCTTGGCCGACCCCGAGATCGGTGCCGACGCTTCCCCGGCTTGGCCAGGGCGGCGCAGAGCTGCACCGGTCCCGGGCCAGGGGTGGGTCTGGCCGGGATCGTTGGAGTGTAGTGCAATCAATGTTGTACAGTATATGTCGTGCGACCTCTGTTGTGCAATCCATGTGGTGCAACATATGTGGTTGTGCAGTCCATGTGGTGCAACCGATGCTCTGCAACATATGTGGTGCAATCTGCACCATTAGCGATCAAAAAGCACGCCGAAGGCGCGATTTTCATCGTGCAATCTATGTGGTGCAATGCAACGGCGGCGACGAGGCGGCGACAGGGCGGCGATGGCGAGTACATAGCCACCAGACCGACCACACGGCCCAGACGACGGGCGGCGACGAGGTGGCGACGGGGCGGGGACGGCAAGTGCATAGCCGCCAGACCGACCACACAGCCCTGTATTGGCGCTTCGCGCCACGCACCTTGGTCCTTCAAGCTTCGCATATACAGGCACTTGGCGTCATCCTCTTTGGCCTTTGAAATTTGGCCGTTTCCTTTAACATCTTTTAATCCGTTCTTATTTGCTCTCGCCCTCGATTTCCATGTTCGTGCGCGACCCGAATTTTTCTCGGGGTAGCTGTGATTCGGATTTCGCGGCGGACCCAATGACGTGGCGACGAGAATGCCACCTGGAGGCTTCGAAAAAAACCTTGAACCAAAATCGCATCCCTTCTTCGCTGGATCCTGCGCCAGTGGGTGTCGTAACGGCCTGCGCGTCGATCTTTGACACTGCTTGGACCGTCCAGCCGTGAAAGATCGCGCATTCCTGTTCAACACCGGCTGGTTCCTGACCTCTGGCCGCGTTCATTCCGAACGCCCGCGACAGTGTTGCCACTGCGTCGACACGACGTACGCTTACCGTTGTGTAGGAAACGTTGTTTCTTGGGGGTCGTTTTCTTCACTTCAGGATTTGGTTTTCAGTTGCAGCGGCTTCTGGAGGCCGACGTTGAACCCAATCTCCCGAAGACAGCAGAAGCTCCAAGAAGCCTGGCGGCTTCCAGCGGCTCCCGACGGCATAGAGCCAACAAGTATATGAGCCACCGTAGATCCCGAATGGTGATGTGTTGAATTCTGGCGGTGGAAGTTCTGCGGCTTGCACTATGTGACGTGATCGATGTTGTGGCAACCGTGTGGTGTGAGCTATACGGTGGAAACTCTTCCGTGTTAGCTACGTGGTGGTAGCGATGTTGTGTGAATTATGTGGGCGATGTAGTGGTATTTACACGTTGTAAACCATATGTTGCAGGACAGGTGGTATGAACAATGTGTTGGGGACAGCGTTGTGGAAACCATGCGAGGAGAACATACCCGTACAAACTGTATGGCGTGGGGATCAAGAGCGCCCGCGATGCAGCATGGGCGGGCACGTCTTTTGCGGAGGCTCCTCGTTGGATGACCTTTTGCGGGCCTCACGAATGCCCCTCAAGGTCTTTGAGGACCTCGGGAGGCCTCCTGGGGGCCTCTCTGGGCCGTCTTGGGGGTCCTTTTGAACCCGTTTGGACCGTCTTGGGTCCCTCTTGGGCCGTGCTGGGGCCTTCTTGGGGAATTTGGGCCCTTTGCGGGCCTTCTTGTGGTCACATTTGGCTCTCCTGGGGACGTGCCGTGGCCCTCGTGGGTCTCCCTTTGGGAGTATTTAGGGGCCTCTTGAGTTCTTTTGGGCCATCTTGGGGCAGTCTCGGGGCCCTCTTGGGCTGTTGTGAAGCCCTCTTGGGGGCCTCTTGGGTTGTTTTTGGGCGATCTCGGAGGCCTCTTGGGCCGTCGTGAACGCTGTTGCGACACAGAAAACGAATATGCTGAACATATACGTTTCCCGAACGGAGTGGGAAGATGTTTGACTCTTGGGGGGGGTCCCCCATCTTGTTTTGCAGGTGGGAGTAGGGAGGAGGGAGAGGAGGAGACCGTACAGATGCTACACACGTCAGCATTACAATCATCATCGCCCTCGTCGGCGGCGTCATCTCCACCACCATCATGATCGTCGTCATCATCATCATCAGCATCATCAGCATCATCATCACCATCATCAGCATCAGCATCATCACCAGCAGCAGTGTCATCAACATCATCATCATCACCACCATCATCATCATCATCATCATCATCATCATCATCAGCAGCAGCATCAGCATCAGCATCAGCATCAGCATCAGCATCAGCATCAGCATCAGCATCAGCATCATCATCATCATCATCATCATCATCATCATCATCATCATCATCATCATCATCATCATCATCACCCACAACCCTCAAGGAGGAATGAGGAACAGGAGGGAGGAGGGGGAGGAGAACGAGGAGAAGGAAGAGGAGGAAGATGGAGGTTCCGCTCCTGGGGGTAAGACGCTGGGGCACTGGGTGAGACGTTTCAGGAGGAGTGCGGAGGGGTCTGGAGGAATGGGAGAATCCCAGAGGATTGGGGGGAATGCGGAGGGTTGAGGGGGAATGGGACGGTTGTGGGAGGTTTGGATGGAGTGCGGAGGCGTGGGGAGGACTGGGAGGGTTGCGGAGGTTTCGGGTGGAGTGCGGATGGGTGGGGAGGAATGGGAAGGTGGAGGAAATCTCTTTCGGGAGGAGTGCGGAAGGGGTGGGGAGGAATGGGACGGTTGCGAAGGTGTCGGGAGGAGTGCGGAAGGGCGTGGAGGAATTGGAGGGTTGCGGAGGTCTCTTTCGGGATGTGTGCGGAGGAGTGGGGAGGAATGGGACGGTTTCACAAGGTTTGGGAGGAGTGGGAGGGGATGTGGAGGCATGGGAGGGTTGCGGAAGTTTCGGGAGGAGTGCGGAGGGGTGTGGAAGAATGGGAGGTCTGCGGATGTCCCAGGAGGAGTGCGGAGGAGTGGGGAGACATGGAAGGGCTCCGGAGGTTTCGGGAGGAGTGCGGAGGGATGTGGAGGAATGGGAGGGTTGCGGAGGTTTCGGAAGGAGTGCGGAGGGGTCTGGAGGAATGGGGGAGGTGCGGATGTTCGGGAGGAGTGCGGAGGGGTGTGGAATGAAAAAGGGTTGCGGAGGTTTCGGGAGGAGTGCGGAGGGATGTGGAGGAATGGGAGGTTTCGGGAGGAGTGCGGAGGGGTGTGAAGGAATGGGAGAGTTGCGGATGTCCGGGAAGAGTGCGGAGGGGTGGAGAGAATGGTAGGATTGCAGAGTTTTCGGGAAGAGTTCGGAGGGGTGTGGAGGACTGGTTGCGGAAGGTTTGGGAGGAGCGCGGAGGGTGGGGGGGAATGGGACGGATTGCGGATGTTCTGGAGCAGTGCGGAGGGGTGGAGAGAATTGGAAGGGCTCCGGAGGTTTCGGGAGGAGTGCGGAGAGATCTGGGGGAATGGGAGGATTGCGGAGGTTTTGGGAGCAATGCGGAGGGGTGTGGAGGAATGGGAGAGTTGCGGATGTCCGGGAAGAGTGCGGAGGGGTGGAGAGAATGGCAGGATTGCAGAGGTTCTGGGAAGAGTGCGGAGGGGTGTGGAGGAATGGGACGGTTGCGGAAGGTTCGGGAGGAGTGCGGAGGGGTGGGGGGAAGTGGGGCGGTTGCGGAGGTTTCGGGTGGAGTGCGGAAGGGGGTGGAGGAGATGGAGGGTTCTAGAATTTTCGGGAAGAGTGCGGAGGGGCGTGGAGGGATGAACTGTTACGGAGTTTTTTTTGTCGGAGTGCGGAGGGGTGCGGACGACTGCAGGGGAGTGGCGAGGACTGGGAAGGAGTGGGGGGGGTGCGGAGGAGTTTGGAAGGAATTGAATCGAATGGAATGCAACGGGGGGCCTCCGGCGTTTACCTCGCCCGAGAGGGCCTCCAGGGAGGCCTCGCGAAGATCCACGGGGGCTCCAAAACGACCCCCAAAGAGGCTCCACGCGGACTGTGATCGTTTTTTTTTTTTTTTTTTTTGCTTTCGGCGGAACCCCCCGCCCCCCCCCCCCCCGTAGAGAAGTTATGGGCTGATTTTGGCACCTGCTTCAGTCGATCGGACGAACTACGGGGGCCGGCGCCCCCCCCCCCCCCGTAGAAACTCGAATCGTTGATGTGTGCAACTGTGCGAACTTTTTCCTGCTATTCTTCTGGAACCATAACGAAAGGGCTCAGGGGCGCCGGACCCGATCGCCAAAAAGCATGCCTCCGGTTGGGCCCTCCCCTGAAATGCCACCGACGGCCTTGTGGAATCATGAATATGTGATCCATAGTAATCCTGGCACAGCCCCGCACAATCACGCATAGCCTTGGCGCAGCCCCGCGCAGCCTCTGCGCGATTCCCCCATGGGGGTCCCCCATAGGATTCCCTCATCGGCATCTCCCACAGGATTCCCCCATAGGCTTCCCCCATGGGCTTCCCCCATCGGATTCCCTCATAGGTCTCCCCCATCGGATTCACAATCTATCATAGTACATTTTAAATTATCGATAAGTTTCATGAATATTTGCGTTGTATTGTAATTGTTAGAATGAGTTTGTTTACCAGTTTCACGCCTCATGAGGCTCAAATATTGAATTTTAAGCTATGTTGAAAATTTCAAGATGATTCAATCGGAGGTATTGACTACGGGACGAGAGCCGGACCCCCCCCCCCTCCCCCCCTTGCGCCAAATGACGAAACCCAGAATACATAAACGCTCACACTGACGGACGGACCTAGAAGCGACAGCACTTGCAGCGTCGACGATGATGGTCGTAGTCGTGCCGAGCCAGAAGCACGACGTGCCCGTGGCGGCCGTGCAACGCTCGAGGGGTCTGCCGAAATTGTCAGGGCGCGGCATGCGGACTCAGCCATCGGGGCCTTCCGTGGGTGGAGTTCCCGATGGGGCAACGAGGTGTGGCAACGATGATAATGGCGACGGTGATGATGGCGGATGATGGTGATGATGTCTGCGCGCAGCGACCCCAATCGCACGCGGCAGGATTACTTGGGCTTGAACTTAGGAGCCTCGCTTGTGACGAGGGTCGAGAAACAACGCGGGCACAGCACTAGCTTCGGGGGCGGCGGCTTGGGAATCGGCACAGTGAATAAGGACAGCTTCAGCCGCCGGAGCAGCTTGCCGGCCTGCCCCTGCGGGCGTGCGACGACTCGGACAAGAGGCCCGCCAGCGCCGTCTCGGGGCAGGTAACAAAAATTGGGGCGGACCCCATGTACACCTTGTGCCCGACGTGTTGGTTCTGGGGCATAGTGATGGGCACGGGCTTGCCCTCCAGCCACAGGAGCTGGATGGACAGGGGGAGGTCTTCATCGATGAAGATCCACTCGTCCAGCACCGCGACCGTAGCCTTGTCCAAGCCGTGGAGGCAAAACTGCCCCCCCGCCCAGCCTCTCCTGCACGTGCTCGCCGCCGAACAGCGGCCGCACCGCCGAGAAGAGAAGAGACTTCCCCTCTCCGCCGAATCGCCCAGCCAAGGTGCCCAGCGGGGCCGCCTCGGAGCGACCGTGCTTCAAGGACATCAAGATGCTGCTGCGCAGGTCGGGGACGTCGACGCGATTCGTCGACAGGCTCTCGCGGACGTGGTGCAACCCGCGGCTGCCGCAAACGCAAGGCGTCCGTAGGGCTTCCTTGAACTGTTGCATGACGGGTTTCGTCGCGTCTTCGAGGAAGCTGTCCACGTTCCCCCACGCCCAGGCCTCGTCGATGATCTTCTCCAGCATGCGCTCGTTCTTGAACATCCAGGCAGCCACCTTCTGCGATCAGGACGCCTTAGCGCACGCCATCAACGTGCGCACTGTGCGGGGGTCGTCCGGAGAATTCCGCATCCCAGACCTGACCACTATCGGCCAGAGGTCCACTTCCTCGACGCAAGGCTCTGGCTTCCCATTCTCGCCCTCGACCTGCTCCCGCGCGGTCCTGCGCTTCGCGGGCGGTCGCCGGCTCCCTCTTCGCCGCGGTCAGCGGCGGGTGCTCCGCGGGCCAAGCCAAGTAGTCAACGTCCAGGGCGCTCCGCGGCTTCTTGGGCGTCGCGTTCGCGCAGTACCCGACGGCCGACCAGTGCCCGTCGTGGCTGCAGGACCGGTGAGAGGCGAGTTAGTACCTGTTGAGCAAGGCCGGCTTCACGGTCAGAAACTTGCTCTCCTTGCCCAGGTGCAAGGCCGCGTGGTAGTGCGCCCGCCGGACGCCTGCCACTGGCACGTGGTATTCTTTGAATGCCACCGGCTTCTTGACCCCGACGGGCGCGGCCCCCTGCCCGCGTTGGCTGGCGAGCCACGCGGGGTCGGCGTCCGGGGCGCCGCAGCAGTCCAGGAAAGCGTCGCGAACCTCCGCCCGCGAGAAAGCCGCTGGCGCTTTGAGACCCTCCTTGTCCGCGTGCGGCAGAGTCACCAAGCAGACCTCCCGCGATGCATTCCTGTTCTCCTCGCCGACGACCTGCTCGAGGAGCGCCGTCAGCTGGCTCTGCTCCCGTGCGAGCCTGCGGCGCTTCTCTGGCTTGTCCACCGAGAGCGCCATCCCCGGGCGCGACCCGGCCAGGGCCAGCTCCCGCCTCGCTGAGCCGACAGGTTACAGGGAAGAACTCAACGCGGACCGTCGGGGTCTTCGGGGGCATCGTAAATCACTTCCTGGCCACTCAAGTGGGGAGCTCTTTGCACCTGGCGTCATCTGCGCACCTGTCGCACCTGGGCGCGCCTCATTCACCTGGCGCACGTGGCCCACCTGTCGCGCGTCGCGCACCTGTCGCACGCGGCGCACTTGGCGCGCCTGGCGCACCCCCTGCACCCCTGGGCGGGGTCGGCGGATCCTGGCCATAGATGCCGCTCGCGCGGCATTGTTGGACATGTGCAAACATGCTAAAACCAGACTGAACCTGCAGTGAACCTACAGTGAACCATCAGTGGACCAACAGTGAACCATGGCAAATTACATCGTGAACCTCGTTTTCCATAAAAAAGAAAAGTTCCATATTCCTTTTAAATCGAAACCGAGTTTCACAGTGGTTTTTTTTTACGAAGGTTCGCTGTTGGTTCACTGTTGGTTCGCTGTTGGTTCACTGTTGGTTCATTATCTTCTTTGCTGCATGTCTCGCGCGCTGGGCTCTCTGGGGCCGCCAGGGCGCTGGCGCCTGGAGGGCCTCGGCGGGCCGAATCAGAATGCGAAGATAAGCTACTTTCGATTGCGTCTGCTGGCCCTGTAGCCGCAGGGCTGGTAGACGCACGGATTGGTCTTGATCGTGGGCCGCGACTGGTTCCCATCCAGCGCCCCGCGTCGCTCGCGCGGGGCAACCGAGGCGCGGGCCGCAACGGGCCGCCCGCCACCCCGGCCCGCTGAGGTCGCCGCGACTCGCGCCGCGGCCGCCCGAGGAAACCGCGCGCGCGCGCTCAGTTCCCGCCGCCCTCGGCGAAATGGCCGCCCTTCGCCTCGACCAGCAAGTCGCAGCGCTCGTGCAGACTGCGCGTGATGGTTTGGATGTGCTCAGAAGGCGTCGCCAACGCCGCGCGGCTCTTTCTCCTGCCCCCTCATGCGCTTGTTCAGATTGGCCCAGAAGGCGATATCAAGCGGCATCAGATCAGGGGACCGCTTCGGCAAGTCCAACGTCTGGATGCCAGAGGATTTCTTCGCCGCCATGCCCGAGCGAGATTTGTAGCCCGTGGGGTCGTTGTCTTCCATGACGCGGAACTTGCCGCGCGCGGAAGGGTAGTCCCCCGTCAAAGCGGGCTGTGGCGCCCCCGAGTACATTCGCTTCGCGGCGGCGGCGTTCCACCCGCCGACCACCTGGTGCCGCATCAACACCTTGCTCGCGCCTATGGCGCACGCGATGGTCACGGGGCCATTGCCCGAACTGTGCTTCAGAACCTGGTGGCAAGCCAAATCAGAGCGCGCCGTTGGCAACTGGCCTGGCGCTGAGTGGCCTCGACGCGGTCTCCGACTTGCGCCAGCCCGAGAACCTTAAGGTTGCTCGGCTTGACGTGGCCCGCGGAGACGTCCCGCTTGCGCTTCCTGTGCACCCCGCGAACCTTGCGATTTACGGCCACCTTCCTGTGCTTCGCATCGGGCAGCACCTGGAGCGCCTTGTTATCCATGCGCGCGTGGACGTACTGCGACCACCTGCTGGGGCTCCGGTGCTTGTGCTCGCGGGCCCGCAGCAGGCGCTCCTTCTTGTCCCCATCCGAAGGTCAGGCTTTTCGTGCAGCGGGCGGAACTGATGGCCAGTCTCAGCGAACGCGCGGCGCGCTGTCTTGATGTCGCATGTCAACTTCATCTCGGACTTTAGCATGGCTGCCGTCAGTTCCTTTGTGCCGCCAGAGGACTTGGGAAGCTTCTTGTAAGCGCGCTGGGCAGCGAGAAACCCTGTGGGGGTGCGGGTGGAATGCTTCGGGCGGCCCTTGGACTTCTTGGTCGCGTTCTTTTTGAACAAATATTTTGAGACGGTGTCCGTGGAGTGGCTCATGGCCGCGGCGAACTTCTTGACACCCGAACCGCCGTCGTGCAAGCAGCGCATTGCGACGTGCTCGTCGGCAGATACATGAGTGAAGCATTTCGGCGACATTCCCCGGCTGTGGAGACAGCGACGGGCGACATGGGCTCGATCCAGAAAGCGCTGCGGCCATCCTGCCAACGGGGCATCCTGAAAATGGATGCATTCCATTGAGCGAGGGCATCCTATATCTCGGATGCCCTTTTCCATCGGTAGCGCCATGGGTTCGAATGGCTTCTGCCTTTGAAAATGACCAAGATCTGCGCGACGTGCGCGCGCAGGTGCGCAAGGGAAATCCATTCTGGGATACCTCCTCGCTGCTGCTTCGTCCGCTGCCCTCTGGCTGTAGGCTGCCTTGTTCCTGGTGGCCTGCCTGCTCGGCTGCCTGTTGGCAGCCTTGCTGGCTGCCTCGATGGCGGCCTCGTTGGCTGCTTTGTTGGCTGTTTCGTTGGCTGCCTCGTTGGTTGTCTCGTTGGCTGCCTCGTTGGTTGCCTTGCCTGGTGCTGTGTCGGTGGCCTCGTTGGTTGCCTTGCTGGCTGCCCTGTCGCCCGCCTCGCTGCCTGGCTGGCTGCCTCGTGGGCTACCTCGTTGGCTGCCTCGTGGGCTACCTCGTTGGCCGCCTCGCTGGCTGCCTCGCCAGTTGCCTCGACGGCCTTTTTTTTGGCTGCCCCGCGGGCTGCCTCGTCGGAGGCCTCGTTGGCCGCCTCGCTGGGTGCCTCGTAGGCTGCCTCGTTGGCTGCTTTGTTGGCTGCCTCGCCAGCTGCTTTCCTGAAAGCCTACCAGACAACGCCCCCATCAATATCACGAGCGAGCGCTTATCCATCTGCCATGGCGACGATGAAGGGAGCGTGGTAACCCAGGACCAAAGGACGGTGAACGAATGAACCGCATGTGCGGGAACGAATTGCAATCATGTGTATGCGCTGACGATATCACGCTGGGTGGGAATAAACCGACCTGTTCGCAGCCTGGGGAACGATGTGGCCTCGGAGGCCTCAGGATGGCTCAAGGCAGCCCTCCACAAGACCGTTTCCAGCTTTCGATAATGCACCCGATGTCTGCTGTGGCCGGTAGGGCGACAGCAACATGTAACCCTGGGCAGGCAAAATCAAACTTCCCGCAGCTCCGGGGATCCATGGGGCCTCCGAGGCCTCCAGGACGGCCCAAGGCAGCCCTCCACAGGACCGTCTCCTTCCATCCCTCTTCCGGCCCTCTCCGATCCCCTCCCCCCTCCCCTCCCCGTTCCCTTCCCCTCCCCTCCCCTCCTCCCCATGCCCTCCCTTCCCCTCCCATCGCCTCTTCTTCCCTGCCTCCTCTGATTCACTCCTCCCGCACCTGCTTCGAAATCCTCCACGCTCCACCGCTTGATCCTCCTCCCCCCACCTCCCATCCTCATTCTTCTCATTCCTCCTGTCTCTCACTACTGTTCCTAGTCTTCCGCATCCTCATCCTCACCCCCATCCTCTTCCTCCTCATCCTGATCCTTACCCTCCTCATCCTTCGCTTCCTCCTCCACCTTCTGCCCCAAGTCATGGGATCTTGGATTTATGAGGGGTCGCTGTGAGCAATATGCAAAACTACAGAAAACCTTGCCATGGACAGTAGATGGACATCATATTCGAACCCTGTGGCCCAAGATGCCTCCCAGACCCCCCGAAATTGATATTGATGGCGTGGCGACGGGGGGGGCGTGAGTGGACAGAAATATTCGAACCCCACAGCACCGCCTTTACTGAGATCAACATTGATGTCGGGGGCGCGGGGGTGATTTAGAATCTCCCTCGAAAGTGTAAGGGTTCGAATTTATTGTCCATGCACGGGGCGTCCTGAAGGCCTCTTGAGGCGTCTTGGGTCTTGGGGGCCTCTTGGGCCGTCTTGGGCCGTCTAGAGGCTGCCTTGCGCTGTCTTGGGGCTCTCCTGCGCCTTTCTTCGACCACTTATCTGGTCGCTTTGGGTCTGCTGGGCAAGGCCCGGCAAGGCGTTCTGGGAGGCGCGGCAGGGCTGGGGGACCTCTTCCAAGGGCGACCAGGGGGCCCCCAAACACCGGGGCCAGATTTTTTTTGGCTTATATATATATATATGTATGTGTGCATATGGTGAAAAATAGTATTAGCTGTTTTTTGTTGGTTCATTTTGTCTGTATATATACACATATATATATATATATTCCTTGTGCGGTTGTTTCGTTTTATCTCACCCCCTTACTTATATACATATAGGACAAGGACTATGTGTACAGGTACTCGCGGACAAACATGAAGCCGTATTGGGCCATGTGGCTTTGAAGAGGCTCTAATGGGATACCGCGTGAACTCCAATATGAACCCATCTGGGTCCCCTTGGCCGCCAGACACCTGACCAGAGCCATGGGCGCGGGAGGGGGCGCGGGCGAGGGCGGTTGTGGGTACGCACACATATGTATACACATACACACATACGTTCACACATTCATAAGTATGTGTGTATGGGCGTATGCGTGTATGTATGTATGTATGTATGTATGCATGCATGCATGCATGCATGCATGTATGTATGTATGTATGTATGTATGTATGTATGTATGTATGTATGTATGTGTGTGTGTATGTATGTATGTATGTATGTATGTATGTATGTATGTATGTATGTATGTATGTATGTACGCATGTGTGTATGTATGGCATGCATGTGTGCACATATGTATGTAATGCATGCGTGCAGACATGCATGTCTGCATATACGTACACATATATGCATATGCGTATGTCTGTCTGTCTGTAAACACACAAATGTATATATATATATATATATATATATATATATATATATATATATACTACTCCTCTTCCTATGATGTTATAAGCCCGGGCGGGGGGAAAACCCGTCACCCCCCAGCAAAATAACTGGACTCCCGGGATCTGGGGCTTTGGAACCCTCCGGATGGGCCTCGAAGCGGCCCCCCGGGCTTCGCAGGGCGTTTTGACAAGCCTTCGCAGCACACCTTGGGCGATCAGGGGGGTCATCGGAGACGTCCCAGAGACCCCCAAGACAGCACAAG